GAGTGGGGGGAGGGGGAGGGAAATCGGAGGCTGGGAGGAGGCGGAAACTTTTTTTTTCTTATTCTCAATAAAAAAATAAATAAAAAAAGAGATGTCTTGTCCTAAAGGCCGCCAGGAATATTATTATAATAAAATTATAAAAAAAAAGAGGGACACATGGATTACCCTGGAAGGAGAAATAGATATCCTGGGTACACCAGAGGCAAAGGTATGGGGGGGGGGGATATGGTCATGTTTGGGGAGGGATGGAGAGGGAGAGCAATGCAAGAGATACCTTGACAGAGGTGTCCACTATGGGGTTAGGGAGAAATGTGGTACCAGGGAAACTCCCAGGAATTGACAGGATGACCCCAATTAAGACTCCTGGCAATAGTGGAGAAGGTGCCTGAACTGGCCTTCCCCTGTAGTCAAGATTAGTGACTATTCTAATTGTCATCATAGAACCTTTATCCAGTAACTGATGGAAGCAGATGCACTGGGTTGAACTCCAGGAGTCCTGCTGAAGAAAGGAAGGCGGGATTATATAAACAAGGGGGGGTCAAGATTATGATGGGAAATGCACAAAGACAGCTGACCCAAGCTTGTGGGGGCTCACAGTCTCTAGACCAACAGCTAGAGAGCCTGCACAGGACTGACCTAGACCCTCTGCATGTAGGTGACGCCTGCATAGCTTCTTCTGTTTATGGAACCCCTAGCAGCGGGAACAGGATCTTTCTCTGGTGCTTAAGCTAGCTTTTTGCAACCTATTTCCTATGGTGGAATTCCTCTCTCAACATTGATGGGGGAGGGGAGGAATTTGGTCTTGCCTCAACTTGATATGCCATGCTTTCTTGACTCCCATAGCGACCTTTCTGAGGAGTGAATGTTTGGCTAAATAAATGGCTTAAGATAATCTTTGGGATGTATCTAAATCTCATGCTGTATTTTTCAGCACCACTACTATACTGCATGGTATCCACATAAACAGAGCACTTCAATAATTCCTTAAGAAAGGAGGGTACAAATTGCAAATATAAGCAAATAAAAAATATAAAAAAAAAGGAGGTGGGGGGAAGGAATGGGAGGAGAGGAAGGAAGAGACTGGGATTGGTATGTAAAATAAATTTAAAATTTTAATAAAAACTGGAAAACTAAAAGTAGCAGAAAATCAGAACTCCTCATATCTTACCCATGGCCACACAAACTAATAGGGTATTCAGTCTAGTTAAATTTGAAGTGTGGGGTAGTAAAGGGTATAGTTCTAGTGCCCACTCTAGTCAAAGAATTAGAGAGAAATCACCATGCACCTCACCAGGGAACAAATTTATTCCAGAAGTGTAATTATACCTGTGTATTTGTATAATAACTAAGATAAAAAATCTTAATCTTCAATCTCAATCTGAAAATTATAGTCTGGACTAAAAGGGAGCCATTTCAGATCTTCTATTACATAGGTGTGGAGTACAAAAACCACCAAAGGAATCAGACGCAACTGCACATATAAAGACAAAGACAATTCTATGCAAAGTAATAAATCCCAATTACAATCACTGTGCAGTAGAATACCAAAAAACAACCCTTGGATTGTGGGAAAGAAATGGAGAAGAGAATCACCGGCTCAAAACCTCGTGAAGATAATAGAGACTATCCATTTATTATGTAAGAATATATTAATTTATTTATAACCTGGTTTAGTCTCAGAGGATTTGAGACAGTTGAGACATTTTTGTAAAAATATGAAGTTATGAATTTCACTATTTCTTGAGAGATAACAAATGGAAATTAATGCCAAAACCGTTTTACCTACTGGTAGATTTTGTTACGTAACTGTGTGAACTAGTAATACAGAATGACTACTCATTCTCTCTCATGCAATACGTCATGATGAAGCTCATCCTTGGTGACTCTTTTATACATCCCACTTTTTCAAAGAATCAGATCAGTGGAGTTAATAGACTACTATAAATTTTTAAGTTCCGGTGTTCTAGGAACTTCTGTCTGAAACCGTTCATTGTATTAGCTTTATTGAACAGGGTTGGAGACTCGGTAAATGTTGCTGGTGCTCTTTCTCTTTTGACTGCAAGTAAATTAATAACTCCAAATAAATAAATAAAACCAATAATTTGAGAGGAAAGATAACTTAATGATTATTTATTAACCAGAAGAATCTTTTCACAGAGTCAGATTTCTAAGCAAGTAAACCTTAGAATGGCCAGTTCTAAGCTTCTCAGCAACTAAAGTTCCCAAAGCCCTTCCTGAAGTCTTGTCCTTTGTGTGAATCAATAGTAATGCCCACCAGTCTGGTATCTCCTTAGGACCGATTTGTAGATTCTCAGAAGCAAAAATCCATCTATCTCTGCTGATGTGAGTATCTGCCAGGGAAATCAGTGAGTAGAGGTAAAGCAATCCTAAAGCGTCTAAGCACGGTCACAAGAAGGCTACCTCTGTGCTTAAAGGAGTTCCCTGCAGAGAAACAAATGGTGACGCACTGCATCGGTCTTCCTGAAGGTATCTTCCCTACTAGGGGATAAGAGTACCTTTCATGGATTATGGAGGAAATCTGTGGACCCAGTAGCTCCTAATCCCCAAACAGAGGACACTGAGTTTCTGAGGCTTGCAGCTGACTACAGGTTTGAAGTAGATTTTTAGAGTCAGCACAACTGGCTCGTGGTCTACAAGAAGAGTCTTAAAATGCAGTCATCTACTTATTTCTTAAGTTCCTGCAATAAGAAGACCTTCTCTGGAACTCTCTGGCTCCTAAGAATACTTACTAATAATGAAGAGAAAACTCTTTACAATGACTCCAAAGACCATATTCTAACAATGCATTGCCAAGGTTCCTTTACTTTGGACTTCAGGTCAAAAAATTATTGGTGTTACACACAGGTTTATCTATTAAAGCAGGAACTCTATTCATGATTATAAGAAAAAGGAAACTGATTCATGACTATATCACCGGCAATTTGTATAAGTGTATGGAATTACTAAATTTTGTCTAGTTTAAAGATAAATTTCCCAAAACTCTGTGGGATGAAAAGTACAAAAGGACTCATCTAAAATCAAATACTGCTGAGTTTAAGAACAGTCAAAAATCTAACACGCCAATAGCCCAGTAGAGAAATCATCTCTAAGTTATTTTGATTCCACAATGGAAGCTCAACCATTAAAGAAGATCAACCAAATGGTCAGATAGCAGCCTCAGTCCATGTAAAGAAATCCTTTAGTGACAAAGAAACCTTAACAAAGCCTACATTCGAAGATAGCGTTTACTAAAGAAACCAACATACTACAGAGTCAGATCTGAACCCCAGTCATTGGGGACCCTCCCATAAAAAAAAAAAAAAAAAAAGATGTACAAAGGAATTTGGACATTAGGACCCAGAAGAGCTTATCCCTCTTTGAATAAGCAGACACATGAATCAGTAATCACAAGGTAATTTTGCCAGGGACACAATAAGATGAGTGACAGATGAAGAACTAAAACTATTAAAACTCATCTTCTGGCGGCAGCCGCAGAGTCCCTGTACACAAGCTCCCCTCTGGCCATCTGCTCACACAAATGTGACATTTTTATTCTTTAAGTCTTTGGCAAGACTAGACTGTTTCTGCACAGCAGGAATCCCTCCAAAATTTAGCTTTGTCATCTCCTTCACTAAAGGTGATTCCCATCTTCCCTTCCTTCCTTGTCCAATCAAAGCCAAGGAAAGAAGCTCTGTCCTTTACATGGTCTGAACGGAAAGTCTCCTCCCCCGGACATACTGCCTTGACAACACAGCATAAGCCACACTGTGGCAGCCCAGAGGCCCCATTTGAGCTGCTTGTACCTCGACAACAGAAGCAGGTATTTAAAAGGCTCCACATATTACTTCCAGACCACCTGCAGAGAGGGTCAAATGGAAGAAGTGTCCCAAGATGCTTTCTGGTTTCCTGTCCTCATCATACGCATTATTCCATTCCAGACAAACTGTCAGTTATCGCAAGGATAATCCCCAAGAGGCTACTGCCATCTCTATCAGGCAATGCACACGCAAGAGAATATCATACAAATCAGTCCCTTTCCTTCATTTATTCCTCTGCACAGTGTAATAGAGCAAACACAGGATAAAGAGAGGTAGGGTATCTGGCATCTCTCGCCAGCTCTACAGTTGATGTGCTATTCTTACTCCCTGTGTGGTTAAGTCTTCAAACTGCAACCCAAGGATAATAACACAGTACCTGTTTACTTTCAAAGGCACTTGAATAATTCTCACATAGAAGCGTCCACACAAATGCAGAGTCTATTATCATGCCAGGAAGACTTGGGATTGGAAGTCCATTTACTCATCACGATTAAGCCGTCAACAAAACAATGATCAAGTAAAAGCATCTTCTCAAAGGCCTCTCCAAATCAAATACTGCTGAATAGGCAGCGATTCAGAAACACACACGTGCAAATATATTCATTTTAATGACCATGCAAATCTAACTCATCAATATCTCATTTAGAGAAGTACTTTGCAAGATGTACCTGACTCAAAAACAAGCAAATAGATTCCCTAATCATAGTAACTTTTTATAATACACTTCTTTCTGGAAAAACACTTTTTCCTATCAAAATGTTTGCTCTACTCTAGGCTTTTAGACGATATTCTACCACATTTCGGGAAGGTTATTCCAGAATGAAGTAATATTTCTCCTTAAGTCTAGCCAGTGTTGAAGTAACTTACGGAACAATGATGGACAGGCATCCACGTGGGAGCTTCCACTGGACAGTTCTGGGCTGGGCATTTGCCTTGGTTTTGCTGGAAATAAGTAAAAATTGTGTTATTTTGTATACATTGCATATACTAACACACATTAGTTGGCATATTTATTATCATTAAGCTGACTGCCACACTTCACCACAGTCAGAGGGACTACCGAAGCTTCTAGGTATAATTTTTAGTGCAGTCTTACAGAAAACGGCATTTATATTTCTACCCTTAGCAAGCACCACACTTACTTAGCAGCTGCCGTTCTAGGCCCCTACAGGAACGGTAGAAACACTCTCCTATTCCAGATACAGCAGCGCTCTAGGCTCTTCAGGTGCACATTGATAAATTCTGTACCCTACGTCTTTGGAATGGAGAGACAGGCTTATCTGTGGTGCCTCTTGACCACTGCTTGTGGTTCGATTCTCTCCAGGTGTTTCTCCCTAAACGCGGAACTCCCGAGTTTAGAGTTAAAAAGTCTAGATTACAAAGGTCTTTCTTGTCCCATCAGAGGCAGAAATGAAGAGAAAGAAAACAATTTGCTCCAAGAATCAGCAGTCTGACATCCTAAACCATTTCCAAGACTCTTCTTCCCGTTGAAGTGATTTCTCTCCAGTGAAAATCTTTGCTTTTTAATCTGTAAACTGAAGTTCTACTTGGCCTTGTAGGGAAGAGTAAGGAGCCCCTTTAACAGTCTGTGCTATTTTCTTCCTATTGTAAGGGTTAGTCCTCAGGGGAGTGAGGTTCTAATAAAACATCTTGCATTTCTCTCATTGTATACTCAATGATGAGGATATAGGCATTCTGTGACGTTACTCACTGTCATGAAAACCACAGAGATGACTTACCAACCTGCTCAGTTTCCATGGGTTGGTATGGAGCCATAAGATAATTATTAGTAACCACAATGAATAAAATGAATATCAATAGAGATTAATGTGATTATACAGGGGAGACTCCAGAGGCTACAAGAAGCTAAGCAATCTTGCCAAGATTCACCCAGCTCTGAAAGGGCATAACTTGGACAGCACTAAGAATCTGACTCACTGCTGTTTATATATATATTTCTATTTTTTATCTGCTCCACTAGGCTACAGGAATATTATCCTACAATCTGATTCCATCTTATTAACCACCCTAACATTTTTGAGATAACTGAACGAAATACATCATTACTAATTTCTCTGCTCTTATAATGCAAATATTTGGGCATATATGTTTCACTAATTTGTTTTTCAAAAACAGTTTCAAGCACTCTTTATTGATGTGATTTACTTTCAGGGCAGCAATAAGTTATTGATGTGATTTACTTTCAGGGCAGCAATAAGCTCTGGAATTCTGTGTGAGTGATTTTTTTGATAAAGTCACTGTAAAAATAAATTTATACCATCAATCTCTATGTTCAGCCGTGTTGAGTTTTCTTACTTAAATCAAAACATGACATATAGAACTAGCAGGGCCAAAAGGCACATTTTTCAATTATCAGATGACCACAATTTCATGCTAAGCTTGGCCATGTGCCTGCTATCATGAGATGTTCTTGGTAGTCAAGTGTGCAAAACAGGTTATCATCAAGACGAATTAGTGGGAGCATTATCAATGATGAATACTGATTCTCTTCAGATCACCACAACATACAAGGATAGATGCTAAAAAATCAATTTTTTTTCTAATTTTGATTTATGTTAGATAAATAATCATATATACATATAGGTTTAAGGCTTTTGGAATAAGAACTAAAATGCTAGTTATTGGGCTAGCAAAATAGTTCAGCAGTTGAAGAATTGCCATACAAGTATGATGACCTGAGCTTGGTATTTAAAAAGAGGTTTTATTGATTCTTTGATAGTTAATAAAAAATGTGATGCATCTGTTCGCCACCCTCTGGCCCAGCTCCTTACAGACCCACCTTTACCTCACTATATAGCCAGCTTTATGTTCTCCTGGGATCTTATTGGTGGTGGCGGGGGTTGTAGCGGTGGTGGTTGTAGGTTACTTTTTAAACCCATCAAGTCCATTTATTGCCAAAATATTCTTAGCTTATGTGGGCACCCACTGGAGTATGGACAACCTATCACCTTTATTGGCAACTGTCTCTTCTCCCAGTAGCTCCCGGGTAGAACGAGAAATGAGAATTTTGTTCCTGTATCACCCAGCTCCAAGTGAGAATTTTGTCTGACTAAAACTTGCAGAGTTCTTGTGCGTGCTGGCAGATTTATCTGAGTTCATATGTACAATTTCCCTGTTGTGTCCAAAAGATACTGTCACCTTCTAGTCCTCCACCAACTCTGAACACTCTGCTCTGAGACAATCCCTAGACATTGGGGAGATGAGTGAAATAGCTTGGTTTTTATGTCTATTTTGTCCATCTTTATGAAGTGTAAGGCAATAAAGAAAACCCAATAAGCTTGTGAGTTGTGTGAACCATATAATTGCTCAAAAATGTAATAGATGCAAAATAAAATGTATTTAACTACAGCACATGAAGAAAGCTGGTATGTCTCCCTTATTCTGCTATCTGACATTCAACTCTCTCCCCTAGTGTTCTAACCAAATATATTAGCCTAGACAAAAGGCTTACTAGAGATGTCATATCATCATAAAACACTTTTAGTTCCTAACTCTGTGGCCAGGACAAAGTCAGATAGGAAGAAAAGTTGGGCCTTGTGCTTCAGTAATAGTCTAATGCTCCCACTAACCTATAATCTGTGGACCATGGGAAAAGTCGGTCTAACACTTTTCACCTAACTCTTCTCATCTATAAGATGAAGGAATCATATTAGATACAAGGGAGGAGGGAGCGCGCATTGGCTAATGAATCTTTTCCAAATCCCTTTTCCTCTAACAATGTAATATATTTTCTCCATCAAAAGGTGTACTCTCAGCTGAGAGCTCCTGAATGATAATTCAGGACTAGTGAAAGATTATCTACAAGTACCATTGAATACCAATAAGCCATTTTCCCTTTTGGTTTGAGTAATTTAAAAAAAAAAAAAAAGGAGGAGAACAGAAGTACTGCAGAGAGGATGGTCTAAAGAGTCTTCTTATACTTTAGTGTGGTTATTGAAAACCCAATCCCAGGTTATATCTGTCACCTAGCTGGGCCTGCAAAGGAAACACATATGACACAGGCTAGGGGAACTACCCCTAGAAGAGGAAAGAAAGAGAAAGGAATTTAAGAATGTTCTCGTTTTCTGGAAGTCTTCATTCTCCATCAGAGTCTCTTTCTGCACTTAATATACAAACTACGGATTGCCAAGCCATGGAGTATTTCCTACTTTCCAGACTTCTACCCTTAGAGCCAACATAAGTAAAAGGAGAAAACACACTCTCCCACTAACTTAACTGGCAAGCCAAAAATAGATAATGCTGCTTGCCTGTCAAGAGCCCGACTAGCTCTGCAGAGAATGGTTTGCGGTTGATGTTAATAACAAATACCACTGTAAATGAACTACTGGTCCCTTCCCTCTCCACCTACTGTGCTTAAAGCTGTGGACTGAGATGCAGGAACCAGCAATATTGACCTTGAACAATATTCCTAGAGGAAAGAAAGCTATCAATAAGTTTGGGTCTTTTACATTAAAACAGGTTGATGTAGGTTGAGATCTCCAAGTCTCTCATTTTCTTTGATTTTACTTTTTTGATTTTAACATCTATCATATTCCTTCCTATGATGTTCTAGCCCATCATTCTCTCTGATGTATCAAAAGATGATTGATTTTTTTCTTAAAAAATACAGATACACATTGTAAAAGACAGTCTACACATTGTAAATATGAAAGCACTCACCAAATTTAAGTTCCTAATTTAAAAAAATCACCATTATTTATGAGGATGAGATAGATTGAGGAATCAATATAGTTTTACTTGTGAATAATGTCACTGTTCAAAGACTTCTCAGTTACATACTGTCTTCAGAATGCTTGAAATCATTGCCTTTATAGATTTAAATAGCAATATAGCTACATGTTAACATGCAAGATAGAATGGGAATAAAACTAATAAATATATTTTTATGTTATAAACATTATATAAAGAATTTTGAAAATATTTAATCTAAAATAATCTTTATTTTCCACAACTGCATGTAACTTGCAAGAAAGATGTTACAGATAGGAAATCATATGTTATGAGGATCAAAAGAACAATATAAGTTAAAATATATACACAAGATATAACATATCAGAAATCCATCATACAAGCCTACAGTTAAGTAATCATTTTAGGTCAATATACTGCATCTGGCTCCAACCTTAGAAATTTAACCAATAAGGTAACAAAGCAAGTTGGTACTGAGTCAGAAGGCACCCCACAATATCACTGTTCATTAAGGCAGACTATCTACTCCATTATGGAAGCATTGTGCCTGCTAAAATAACCCTTTATCTAAAACACAGTGTTGCAAAATGTCCAGTTAAAAGAAATGCATCAATCACATTGTAGATCTAACAAAGAAACTCAGAGGAGAAAACTTCTGAAGGACAGCACAGGTGCCTAGAAGAGAAACCATCTCGAGTTAGATGCCTTTGTAAGATAACAACCAAGTGGTAAAGAGGAGAGGGGGAAAACTCAGAATTTAAAAATCCCTTTCCCAACACCAATTTCTGATTTGAATATTCCATAGTGGGAATCTTTCATCTGGGAAGTATTTGGAATTTTGACAATGTTTGGGATTGACTTTTTTTTTTTTGACAGGGATTCTCTGTGTAGCCCTGGCTGTCCTAGAACACACTCTATATACCAGGCTGGCCTTGAACTCAGAGATCCACCTGCCTCTACCTCTTGAAGGCTGGGACTAAAGGCATGCACCATCATATACAGCAGGATGGGACAATTTTAATAACTGAATTGAGTAGATTTGTAATTTTACAAGATTATGAACTCTGTATTCTTTTTAAGCTATAAAGTCACATACCTTCTCAAGTTTCAGTAGCAGAACAAGTTGGGACCACTGACACGTTGCCATTAAAAGCAAACAATGTGGAGCATGGGAAAAAAGTTGGTCTAACTACTGTATTCTTGAATTTGTTGTCTAGCCTGTGTAGCCTAGC